TTTTTTGGTAAACCTAACAAAGACGATCACACTTGCGAAGGGTGCAATAGAAGGAACCCTTAGATGATATAATGCAAATGAGTCATATCTTTTCCAAAGCAAAAAAATGAAATTCCGACGAAAGCAATAAAAAATAAACATCAAAAAATCTTTTCCTGGTTTCCAAATGACCCAGAGGACCCATTGCGCAACCACTACTCTATCCAATCATTTTTGCACAAATGTAAGCTGAAAAAAACTTTTTGAGCCTCAACTACTGTTACAAATCGATACGCCATATGGGGCACACAAATATATTTGGCTAAACTACTCTTTCCAAAATTTCACCCATTTACCGTAATTTCTCAACAACCGCAAAAGAAAATGGACAACTATGTTTTGTGCATCTACTACTCACAAATACATATTTTTATGAAACCTGAAAACTTTTGTTGCTGATCAAAACGTTGGACAAAATATTAAATAGGAACGTAAACCGAACCTAATACACCGATCAATAATTTCGCGAATCTCCGGATATTGCTGCGGAATCCTGTTAAAACACTCTGGTTTCACACCCTAAATTGTTAACTAGTTCAGTGAAAATCTCTAGTTTCTAATAGCTGTTCAAGCGTATACCACACTTACCGTAGTGACCTTTCGGTATATTTGGGCTGGGAACTGACATTCCGTGTACGGATACTCTCCAGTGACCATCTCTAGGAGACACATACCGAAAGCATACACGTCGACCGACTCATCGTACATTTCTTCGTACATCTCCGGTGCCATGAATTCAGGCGTTCCTAAATTCATAGGTAATTGAATTTGTTTTGATTATCAATCAACTTTTTCACGATTCATTCCGTGAAAGAGCCATGAGCTTTAATAAACGCGGTGGTGCTTCCTTTTTCTATCAGTTGTCCCACAAATAGTGAATAATTCGGCTATTTTTTAATTTTAATTTCTTCCTTTTATGTCTGAGGCGCTTGCTCATCTGAATATACACCCGTTATCTCCAAAATATTGCATTCTCCCCGTTCTAAGCGCGAAGTCCCTCTCGTGTCCAACAACATTCCAACTCTCGAATCGTTAAGTTACAGTCCGTATCCGAAACGAAAGTTGGGGTAGGCGTGTCACCGGAAGTGACGTGGTGCACTTGATAGAAGTTGCGTGGATAAGCTGTTGCCAGCATGCTTTGCTGATATCCAGCGATGTATGTTGGAAGCAGCTTATCCACGCGACTTCTATCAAGTGCGGCTGCCACGTCATTTCCGGTGACATGCCTACCTCAACTCTCGGATATGGACTGTAGCCTACTGTTGCTTGTGGATTTGTTAGCACACTGCACCAAGTCCACATCACTGTAAATATGCTGGATGAGCAATGGAAGGAACAATGGGGAACTAACAGAGACATGGAGATGTCAGATAGTGTCTGGAGCCGCGCGGGCTCAGAGCATAAGAGATACAAACCCATATTTTCAAATTTTTACGACACTATTGAAATGTCTCAGTACTGTCACTTTAACAAGCTGGAAGCGCTTTGGCGAACAACGGCTAGTCTGACCAGATTCTCTTTCAAGACGAGAGGTACAGCAGTGAGATTGCCAGTCGCGGGGCGATTGGGGTGCAGATCATCTTCAAACAAAGCGCCGATCACATAAGAGGGAGAGCCACAGTTGCACCGTCGACCGAGGGAGCGTGCCCTTTTCCATCTTTTGACCAATTCTCTATGTTGTTTGGCGTTTGAAAGATCCTAGTCGGATAATGAAGGAGGAAGCTCAGTAATAAGCTCAGAAAAAATTTAAGTAACAGCCAGAGAAGGCAGCGTGTAAATGCGCTGACTAGTTGCTTAGGTAGAATGGTTAT